AGTGGTAGAGCACTTGCCTTGCATACTTGAGTCCCTGGGTTCGATTCCTCAGCACCACATAAGCAAAAAAAGAAAAAGCCAGGAAGTGGCGCTGTGACTCAAGTGGTAGAGCGCTAGCCTTGAGCTAAAGAGCTGAGGGACAGCGCCCAGGACCAGAGTTCAGGCCCCACGACCGGACCCCCCCCCCCCAAAAAAAAAAGAGATGAATGCAGATTGGAGATTTCCAAGGTCTAAGTTGAGTACATGAAATTGCTTAGTGGACATAGAGTTTCTTTTTGGGATGATAAAGCGCAACTGGTAACTATGCAATTTTACGAATGAACTAAAATGCTACTGGATTGTTTTCTCTTAAAAGGTTAATCACGTAGCATGTGAATTTCACCTAAAATGAACAAAAAACATACAATGCTAATTTTGGGCAAGGGTATGGAGCAATAAAGAGCTTTCATTAACTGGTCATCATCAGATTTATATAACTTGGATGTGTGTGTGTGTGTGTGTGTGTGTGTGTGTGTGTGTGTGTGTGTGTGTGATAATTATCTGGGCAAATGGACATTATCTATTAGAGCTGAAACACATGTATAACCTAAGGCCCAGCAAATGTCTTTCACATAAAAATCTCTTTCACATATACTTTTCACATACACTTTTCACTATTTGTCATATAGCCCAACTCTAGAAATTAGCTAAATGCCTGTCCACAGTAGAACAAACAAATGAAAATGAATATCCTGCCGGGCGCTGGTGGCTCACGCCTGTAATCCTAGCTACTCAGGAGGCTGAGATCTGAGGATCGCGGTTCAAAGCCAGCCTGGGCAGGAGAGACCGTGAGACTCCTATCTCCAATAAAACACCAGAAAACCGGAAGTGGCGCTGTAGCTCAAGTGGTAGAGCGCTCGCCTTGAGCTGAAGAGCTGAGGGACAGCGCCCAGGCCCAGAGTTCAAGCCCCACGACCGACAAAAAAAAAAAAAGAAAATGAATATCCTATTGCAACAATATTGGGCAAATCTGATGAACATAGTACAAAACGAAAGGAGCTAGACACAAAGGAGTACATGTTGGGTGATTCCATGTATGTAAAGTTCAAAAAGCAAAGCCAGGCTTTGGTGGCTCATGGCTGTAATGCTAGTTACTCAGGAGGCTGGGATCTAAAATTGTGGTTTAAAGCCAGCCCTGGCAGGAAAATCCATGAGATTCCTATCTCCAATTAACCATCAAAAAGCCAAAAGTGGAGGTGCAGTTCAAGTGGTAGAGTGCCAACTTTGAGTAAAAAGCTAAGAGACAGTGCCTAGGCCCTGAGCTTAAGTCCCAATACGGGGGCGCGCGCACTCGCACACGCACGCACACACACACACACACACACAAATGTAATGAGCTAACTCTGTATAAAGGTCCAATGCTGGGCACTGGTGGTTCACACCTGTAATCCTAGGTTCACACCTGTAATACTCAGGAGGCTGACATCTGAGGACCATGGTTCAAAGCCAGCCCAGTCAGGAAAGTCCATGAGACTCTTATCTCCAATAAACCACTCAGAAAACCAGAAGTTGCACTGTGGCTCAAGTGGTAGAGTGCTAGCTTTGAGCTGAAGAGCTTAGGGACAGCGCCCAGGCCTAGAGTTCAAGCCCCACAACCGACAAAAGTAAACAAAGTCCAATTCTGTATTTCTTTTGAAAAGCTTATTAATGACAAAACTACAAAGAAGAATTAAAGGTTTTCTACTTAGATAATGCTACTAAACCATTTGCTGCAAACATCTAAGTTATCTTTGTAAGTTTAGAAAAGTAACTTTTGTATTGGCAACATCTGCCAATTCTTTTGAATTTGAGTCCCTTTTCATCAGCCTAGGTGGGAATTGATGAGTAAGCACTTCACCATGGCTGGAAACAGACTGCCATTCTCGGTTGGAGTCCCTGTTCTCAACACCTTGACTTGGTAACATACACGTAGCCCCTCGGCCACCCTCCCTGCGCCCATCTGCTGTGGTGGCTGCCTGCCCACTCACAAATTTGGATTTCTGCCCTAGAGTGGAGGTGCCGGGGAATAACAGTTTACCTCCAGCAGCCTGGGCAAAGATGCCAATGTGTCTTCTGCCCAATGTCAAGACATGGTGTCCTTAGCTTGGGCGCTCTTTGGCTCCCTGTATCAGGTCCTATTTTTCACAGTATATTCATGACAGATGAAATGTAGGAAACAATAGTAACAGTTGGAAAAACAAAACAAGGGAAGTGATTGACCTGGCTTTTTACGGTTTTAAAACCTGAAGGTTAATTTTTCGAAGGGGGTGGAGCAGTTAACAAGGGAAGGGGAGGGAAGGGGAAGGTAGGGAAAGAGGAGAGAAAGGGAAAAGAAAGGTAGAGGATTCTCGGCCACAGCAGATCAGGAAGCCACAGGACTGTACTGCTCCTTGAAATCAAAGGGCAAAAAGGCTGAATTTTCTTTTCTTTTCTTTTTTTCTGTTGGTCATAAAAATAACTTGAGTTTTTTGAGGGTGTTCCTATGCTTTAGAAAAACTCCTACTTAGTGTGGTTGAACAAAGGATGACACATATCTATTATACATGCTCAGTTCTTCTAGACACTGTACCAGCTCAGTTACAATCATGATTCCTTATGCAAGTAAGGTCTCTGAGTGTAAGTGTGAGGCTGTTTTCCTGCATTTTCTGGTATCTAGAGACATTCTTAGTGTAGGTAATGGAATGTTAAAATATGAAGTTTGAAACTTCTATGTGAGATGATGAAAAGTTCAATCTCTCTGAGCCCTTGGATATAGAAAGAGAAGGGATAGAGTCACACACAGAGAAGGACGCACAAGATCATGCGAGGTCTGATTTATTCATTGATGCATGAGAAAAGAACTGAAGCCAGGAAACCTAGGTGTTCTTCAGTCTTGCAGAGTAAGTGTCTACCTATTAGAAGGACACATGGTAAATAAGAATATCAGGAGAAATTATGGGCCTGCTTTAGTGGTTTTTGTCTCTTAAAAAAGTACTAAAACAATTAGTATGATTTAGGGATTCATTTATTTTTTATTTTTTTGCCAAATGACATAATCTGATAAGCCAGGGTAAAAGAACAAACCTGTGTGTGTGTGTGTGTGTGTGTGTGTGTGTGTGTGTGCGTGTGTGCCTGTGCGCGTGTGAGTGTGCACACACACAGGCTTGAATTCAGGGCCTGGGCACTCTTCCTGAGCTTTCTTTGCTCAAGGCTAATGCTCTACCATTTGAGACACACCTTCACTTTTAGCCTTTTTAGGGAGCTTAATTGGAGATTAGAGTCTCCTGGCATTTCCTGCCTGAGTGGGCTTTGAACTTCTGTCCTAAGATCTCAGCCTCCTGAGTAGTTAGGATTGCAGGTGTGAGCTACTGGTACTGGCCCAAATCTATTTTTTTTAAACCTAAGCAACTGAGCAACCTGGTGTATTTTCACTGTATACCTACAATATATTAAACACTACAAGGATTTAAAACTCATCCACTAAATTCAGCGTTTATTAATAGAAGCTTGTAATAAAATCATCCATGAATTCAGGAGACTTCAGAGAGGGGCTTGGGATATAGATGTGAGAGCTGGAGAATTTGGCTAGTATGTGTGAGGCTCTGATCACCAGCACTGATGAGAGGGGAGAAAAAGAAAAGAGAAGAGAAGAAAGGGAAGGGAAAGAAAAAAGGAAAGGATAGGAAAAGAAAAGAAGAGGGGAGGGAGGAAGGGGAAAGGAAGAGAGGGAAAGAGAGGAAAGAAGACAAGAGGAAAACAAAACATAGAAGGAAGAAAGGAGGAGAGGAAAAAAAGAGAGAGAAAGACAGAAAGAAAACCTGAAAAAAAAACACATTTATTTTCTTTGAATCTCATATTTGTCATCTGTAAAATATAGATAATACCTGTCTGTTAGGCAAGTACACTATCACTGAACAACATTCCCAGTCTGTTAGGGTTTGAGTTAAACAATGAATATAAATTGTAGAACATACTTGAGTGTGAGATCAGAAGTTTGGCATTTATTACTAAGACAGTAAGTTTTCACAGATTTTCAGTTGGGAGGGATGCTCTAACTTGGTTATTTGATCTAATTCACACCACATTTTCACATTAAAAAAATCTTAGATGATTAAGTTTAATCAGAAGTTTCATTATGAGAAAATCAGCATTATCAACATCTAACAGTTACCCATGACACACACCATGCTGTGCCTCAAATCCATCTACTCAGTGGGTTTACACTGACCTCCACATATAATACAATAAGGAAAAACAACTATGAAAAGGAGACAGAAGAGCAGAAAAGATAAATTCAGAGTGAAGTTGTCACACTGAATACATATAACAAAGACAAGACTTGGAGGAAGGGAACCACTCATTTACCTTTAACTTTTCTAATACTCAAAAGAGTATTAGGAAGTGATCACTAATGGTGATTGGTGATTGATTCTTCCAATTTCTAGCCATGGCCTTTTCAGTTAGATTCTCATTAAGTAGTTAAATTTGGGCCCCAAATCCTCTTGTCTTCAATTCCCCAGTGCTGGGATTACAGGTGTGGCCTGCCGTACCCTTTTCTATTTTCAAAATTTTGTTTTGCTGCCAAATATTTTTCCACTTGGCTAAAATGAAAATTAAATGATGTAACAACAACAAAAACAATTAAGTAAAGACATTTAGTCTTTCAAATTAGAAAAACTACCCATATACTAGCAACCAACGTAAAAATCAATCAACACTTATGACTATAAAATAATGTGTGTAGAATATTTGAGTTCGGTTCCCCCAAATGAATCTCTGCCACTCCTCAGGATAATGCAGACTTCTCCATTTGTTTGTAGTGAACTTTTGAGCAAGAAAAGCATGAAAGACAGACTGATGCTCATATTGGTCTTCAATCATCATGGTTCTGATAAGAAATGCACACGCATCATCATTGAACTGCAAGTGTTTGTCACCAACACTTTAGATAAGATCAATGGACATAAATTTTCTTTATTTTTAAAAATACTTTAGTATAGGTAATTGCTTTGGCAGCACTTAGTAAAATTGGAATGATACCAAGAAGATTGGCGTGGCCCCTGTGCAAAGATGACACATAAATTTGTGAAGTGCTGCATATTAAAAAATTTAGTTAGTAGTAGTAGTAGTAGTAGCAGCAGCAGCAGCAGTGGGCTTAAACTCGGGGTCTGAGAGCTGTCCCTTAGCTTTTTTGTTCAAGGCTAGTTCTCTACCACTTAACTACAGCTCTATTTCCAGCTTTTGGGTGGTTAATTGGAGAAAAAAGGCTCACAGACTTTCCTGCCAGAGCTGGCTTCAAACTGCAATCCTTAGATCTCAACCTCCTGAGTAGCTAGAGTTACTGGCTCCTATAAATGTTTTAAACACTGACAGATAGATACTTCCAGGTGAGAAATCAACACACCAATAGCAATGGTCATTGGCTTAATTCTACAATAATGTAGAATTAAGACACAACCTAAATTGTAGCATGATATATGGCATTGTTCTGCCTGCCATCCTCGCTCACCCAGATGGGAGAGACAGGAGATGCCTTTAGAGCAGGTAGTTGATTCAGTTGCTGTGAAGCCAGCTATGACCACAAGTGGCCATCCAATTTATGTCATGAGACATAAATTCTGTCTTATGAGATTCAATATGGTTCAGTGTGTTCACCTAGCATGCCTGTGGCCCCTGGTTTGATCCCTCACACCCAGGAAAAAGAAAGCAAAGATTAAACTTTATGACTTTTAGACAACACATTTGTTACTTCAAATAGTAATTTCCCTACTTCATCATCAGATTTGTTTCTTAAGTACAATTCCTCTCCATTTGTGGTTCCTGCTTCACCTCCTCCCATCTCCAATCAAGTCCAGCCTCAGCCTCATTTATCAGCGTGGGGGCTAATCCCAATGAGTGAATCAAAGACAATTTCAGAGGCCAGATGTTCTGTACAATTTTGGATAAAGGAATATTGCAGAAGGGGAATGGTCTGCCTTATAAAAGTCATTTGTTTGCAGAGTGCTGGTGGCTCATGCCTGTAATGCTAGCTACTCAGGAGACTGAGATCTAAGGATTGTGGTTTGAAGCCAGCCTGGACAGGAAAGTCTATGAGACGCTTACCACCAATTAACCACCAAAAAAATAAAAAAAGCCACAAGTAGAGCTGTGGCTCAAGTGCTAGTGTTAGCCTTGAGAAAAAGACGTTCAAGGACAATGTCCAGGCCTCAAGTTCAAGCCCTAGAACTGTCAAAACAAATCATTGCCTTACTAATCCTGCCCTCCTCCCCCAATAAAACTACTTACTGTGACATGCTTGATTCCTTCCTTCCTTCCTTTCTTCTTTCCTTCCTTCCTTCCTTCCTTCTTCTTTCTTTCTCTCTTTCTTTCTTCCTTCTCTTCCTTCCTTCCTTCCTTCCTTTCTTTCTTTCTTTCTTTCTTTTTCTTCTTTTCTCTTTCTTTCTTTCTTTCTTTTCTTTCTTTCTTTCTTCCTTTCTTTCTTCCTTTCTTTCTTTCTTTCTTTCTTTCTTTCTTTCTTTCTTTCTTTCTTTCTTTCTTTCTTTCTTTCTTTCTTTCTTAGCTCAAGACTGAGACTCAAACTCAGTACCTGATACTTTTGCTCATTGGATAGCACTCTACCAACTGAGCCATGCCTCCAATCTCACACATGTAATTCTTGTTGATGAGAGCTCTACTTCTGTCTCCAGCTGCGTCTATGGCCCTTTGCCCTGTAAAACTGGCCTCACTGAATGCCAACTTGTCTCACAAATGTGCCTCATGCTTTTATTTTTTATTATTATTACTTTTGTCTCTGGGTGTCTGCACAGGCTGAAATGTGACCCATCTCCCCAGACAACCTTCTGTCTGGAGACTCTGATTAGCCTTTCAAGACCTGTTTTAATCTTCATCTCCACATAGGTACTTTCTCTGAGCCCTACTTTTGGTGGCACAACATTGGATCTCCTCAGATTGCCTGTATACTCTTCTGCTTTTCATAATAAGTACTTGGAAGAAGGTGAGAGCTGTCAGGCTCATTGGGACATTCCTAGTAGTCAGAACAGCATCTGGAACAGAGGGAGGGTTCCGTACAGATATGCTGAATAAATGAAAGACATTTCTCTGAAGGAAACAACCCATTTGTGTGGATAGCTTTGTTTGGAAGAGAAAGAATACCACTCAAGTATAGGCAACACTTATGATTACCATCACCACCACTACCTCCTCCTCCTCCTTCTCCTCCATCTTCCTCTTCTTCAGATTTATATTCCTTTGTCACTACTCAAAAAAAATGCTGTCATCCACTTAGAGGTCCTATCATTTGTATTCTCATTTCATATTAAACTTATCAAAACCTCATCGTAGCTTGTCAGAAAGGTATAGATCAAAATGATCATTCAAAGAATGAAAATACCCTTGAGTTACAGCTCATTATCAAAGAATATTGAAACAAATATTGCCCATAGTTTCTTGGAGATTAAGAATCTAGTGGTACCTGGGGCTTGAACTCAGGGTCTGGACGCTGTCTCTGAGCTTTTTTAGTCAGGGCTAGTTGCTCTACCACTTGAGCCACAGCTCCACTTCTGATTTTCTGGTGGTTAATTGGAGATAAGAGTCCTGCCCAAGCTGGTTTTAAACCATGATCCAGCACTTCAAACATAAACCAGCACTTCAAACATTTTTAACAAATTATCTTGCTCAGGCCTCACATTAGTACTGCAATTACTCCATTTAAAATGTCAACAACAACAACAACAAAAACCTTTGTACAAAAGACATTGAAATTTACACATAATAACTGGTAGAGTTCAGACTGGAGACCAAATAGACTAAGTCCAGAATTTCAGTCTTTACTCACTGCTGGAAAATAAAGCCTCACATTAAACAAACAAACAACCCCCCAAGCAAAACAAAAAAACCAAACCAAACCAAAACAAAAACCAATGCAAGCCTGGTACAGTGGTTCTTGTCTATAAATCTAGCTAGTTGGCAGGTTGCAAATGGGAGGATCAAGTTTCCAGACCATCCTGGGCAAAAAGCAAGGCCTGATCTCAAAAATAATCAGAGCAAAAGAAAAGGCTAGAAGCACAGCTCAAATGGTAGAGTGCCTGCCAAGCAAGTGGGTAGAGTGCCTGCCAAGCAAGTGGGAAACTCTGAGTTCAAACCATAATACCACCAACTAATCTCATCTCTAGTAATCTATATCTGTATACCATCTGCACCTATATCTATCTGTGTATATCTGTATGTATAGCATACAGGACTGGTAGCTTGGTTGCTTGCCATGTATAAGGCCATAGGGATTTGATTCCTAGCAGAAAGAGAGAGACAGAGAGACAGAGAGACAGAGAGAGAAACATAGATAGAGGCAGAGACAGAGAAGCAAAAATAAGAGAGAGGAAAGAAGGAAGGAAGGAAAGGGAAATATAAGATTCCCCACCTGAGTTTGGGTGAATTCCTGCTCTGTACCCTATATATCACTATTATTGCTAGAATATGACTGGTCATTTTTGCCTCCAACCAAAGAGTTTTAGTATGTAAATGTCAGTGATGTTCAGTAAGTCTGTGTGTTCCCACATAAGAAATTACCCCCCAAAAGTTAGTAGCATGTAACACCAAACATTAATTATCTTGAAGTTTCTGAGACCAGTCTAGAAATCTGGACCATTCTCAGGGTAATTCTGGCTCAGGGTTATTTCTGAGGTGGAGGTAAAGCTGTTGATCAGAACTGCAATCCTTTCTAGGGTCTTCTGGGAGGAGCCCAATAGTCTGCTTCCACTTTACTTGTGTGTGGTGGCAGGCTTTGATTTCTTGGGAGCTGATGGGTGGAGGGCTACAATCCAGCTGATTGTCTTCATTGGTTCTTTGCCAAATAGGCCAGTTGATAGAATGGGGCTTACTCTAATAGACAAATGTCAGAAAACACACAGCGTCATTTCTGCTGTAATTAGAATGGAGTTCTGTCTGTATCCAGGGATTGGTTGGACACAAGTGTGATTTTCAGATGAGGGCCACTGGGAGCCTTCCTGGAGGTACCATGCTTTAAATGGCTCAGAACATACTAGCAGTGTCTTTGCTTCATTCCTAAGCTTCAGATTTTCATGAACTAATTAACTTGCTTTTTCTTTTTATTCAACAATAAGAAAATGGATTATTAGACTCCCAAGACAAAGCTTAGCTTAAAACAACAGTAATTAGAAGACAAGATTGGAAAGATGCAGTAAAATGTAACATGCCTTTCATTTACAATAATATCAAAATGCTTGTTTAGCAAATATACTTCAAAGGTATGTTCAAGTTACATTGATTGGGTCTTACATAAAAGACAGAAATAAGTGAAGAAGGCCTTATAAATAACCATAGTCCCCCCCCCCCCACACCCCTGCCACACCTAAAAAAAAAACTGTAGCAATATCAATTGAATATCTCCATTTTCATTTTATGGCTGACAACTCTTAAACTTATGACAAATACAGCAAAGATGTCTCTAGAGCAATCTTAGCAGAATATATTTATAATCAGTTTGTAATAGGATATATTGCTGTCTTTTACAACACAATTGGTCTATTTTAAAGTTCTGTGTGATAGGGAAGGGTTTGAACTCAGGGCCTTGCATTCTCACTTGGCTATTTTGCTTACGAATTGCCAGCCCGACAGTCCAGGGTTTTTTTTGGTTTTGTTTTGTTTTTTGTTTTTTGTCAGTTGTGGGGCTTGAACTCTGGGCCTGGGCATTGTCATTGACCTCTCCAACTCAAGGCTAGTGCTCTACCACTTGAGCCATAGCATCACTTCCCATTTTCTTGTGGTTAATTAGAGATAAGAGTGTCAAGGACTTTCCTGCCAGGACTGGCTCTGAACCATGATCTTCAGATCTCAGCCTCCTGAGTAGCTAGGATTACCGGCATGAGCCACCGGCACTGGGCCCAGTCTTTTTTTTTTTTCTGATTAATTGGAGATAAAGAATCCCATAATTTTTTTCTATCTGTTGCTAGCTTTGAACCTCAATCCTCAGATCTCAGCCTCCTGAGTAGTTAGGATTACAAGTGTGAGCCACAAGCACCCAGTTTAAAGTATTTTAAGTTAACTGTCTAAAGAAAAATGTGCTTTAGAACCAATGATTTAAATGAAA